GAAAATGAACATATGCACAGACAAAAATAAAGCTATTGTCTTTACATGTGCAGTTAGGTATATAGGTATAGAAGTATACAGAGAAAATGTCTGGAAGGATAAAGACAAAACTGATTACAATGTTTCCCTCTAGCGATGGAATTTCCCAGGGCCAGGAAAGTCATCAGGGTGTAACTCAGCTTTTTATGCAGCATTGATATTTTTAACAAAAAGAATGTACTCATGCATTACTATTAAAATGTAACAATTTCTAGTTTAAAAAGAAAAATTACTTTTGACGAATATTATAAAGGCTATTTGCCTTCTTTAATAAAGTTCAATTCTCCACTCTACGCAAACACCAGTGGCTGGCAAGATGACGGAATAAGAACAGCTCTGGTCTGCAGCTACCAGCAAGATCAACACAGATGGTGGGTAATTTCTGCATTTCCAACTGAGGTACCCGGCTCATCTCACTGGGACTGGTTAGACACTAGGTGCAGCCCACGGAGGGCAAGCCAAAGCAGAGTGGGGCATCATCTCACCCGGGAAGCGCAAGGGGTCAGGGAACTCCCTCCTCAACCAAGGGAAGCCGTAAGGGACTGTGCCGTGAGGAACTGTGCACTCCATCCCAGATACTACATTTTTCCTACAGTCTTCGCAATCCACAGACCAGGAGATTCCCTTGGGTGCCTATACCACCAGGCCCTAGTGGGCAGCCATTTGGTCAGACACCGAGCTAGCTGCTGGAGTTTTTCTCATACCTCAGTGGTGCCTGGAATGCCAGTGAGACAGAACCGTTCAATCCCCTGGAAAGGGGGCTGAAGCAAGATAAAAAAGAAGTATGGGCAAGAGACTTTCAATGCTTTCTCTGTCATATTCATATTTATTCCTATCTTTCATTTAGAGCACAAACTTTGGCTAATGTACAGAATATACTTCAGTCTTTAATAGTTAATGTTACAAAATACAGAGTAAAAACTGTGACATGTGGAACATGTCAGTTTTATATTTCACATATTGGTCACACTCAAACATGAAATCTGGACTGGCTTATTAACAGGTTCTACCTTAATTCATTGCCGTCAAAGTTACACTGGAAGCCTTTTAACTTTCCTCTAATACATGTTTCTGAGGAAATACCAGTGTCAATATATGTGTCTTAGGAAATTTAAAACATGACCATTCACCTGCTCCATTTTTCACACTGCAGCAAGAGGAACTTGATCAGGAAGATCAAGTTGAGGTCTGAATAATTCTCAGCATCCTTCTCAGCTTATTTGTTTGTTTGTTTGTTTTTGAGATGAAGTCTCACTCTGTCACCCAGGCTGGAGTGCAGGGACATGATCTCTACTCACTGCGGCCTCTGCTTCCCAGGTTCAAGCAAGTCTCCTGCATCAGCTCCTGAGCAACTGGGACTACAGGCTCCTGCCACCATGCCCGGCTAACTTTCGCATTATTTTTTAGTAGAGATGGGGTTTCACCATGTTGGCAAGGGTATTCTTGAATTCCTGACCTGAAGTGATCAGCCCACCTTGGCCTCCCAAAGTGCTGGGATTACATCCGTGAGCCAACATGCCCGGTCATCCTGCTCAGTACTCTTAAAAGAGACATATCATAATCTCAGAACAGCAACTACTCAGAGGCTGCAACCTCATTTGACTGCTCTATATCTGGTATTAGGACACTGGAAGGGATAAGAAATTATACTTATATCTGCTAATATTTACAAAAAGAAACTCTAGAAGATTATACAAAATCCTAATAATTGTATTTATCTTTGGGGATAAGAACCAAGACAATGTGTAACAGAAATGTAGGATACTTTTGTGAATCATACAAATATGCCTGTTCAAAATATTTAAATAAATGTTGTTATTATAATAACAAGCAGTATAATGAGAAAAACTAAACTGGATATAATGAAACTTGATGACAGCTACTGTGGTCAATAAAAATTCAGATTTTGGAAATACTTTTGCCTCTGGTAAAGCTTTGGTAAGAGAAAGCATAGATGCATATGTCTGTTTTGTCAGTTCAGAAGAGTTCATATCCTTGTAATAATTTGCCTGAAATTTATATATTTAACTGATTTCCTGGGTGGATTCCAGATTTAATCCCTACTTAAAAACATTCCAATAGTTACAAAGCAAAATTAATGTTCTAAAAGAAAGTCTCTCCCATTGCAGAATTGCTGATATATTCATTTCTCTTAGACAACTTTTTGCTCCTCAGTTACGTTTTTCCTGGAATAAATTTAAAAGGGAATTCATCCCACCTTCAAAATTAAAAAAAGTTATAAATAAGTTTGCTGCATTCCATAAAATACCTTAATATTTGTAAACTTATTTTTTTTAAATATTGAAGGACTGGGTTCTCCAACTCTGAAAACCAGGTAAAGTTGAGATGGAACTGCACTTTTCTGCACTGTTTGACTACATGAGAGAAGGCTTAAGAGTCTTGTTAGAGTTTCTCAATTATTATGCTAGCTTGGGCTCCAAGAAGCATATGTTATTAAGAGAACCTGTGTACAATATGTATTTAAGGAAGTGTTTCCTAGAACTGTGAGTCATAAGAGAGATAAGGGTGTGGTTTCTGGAAAATTTCCATCTCGGGGAGCTCCAATTCGATTCTGCAGGGGAGACTCTAGAGCATGAAGTACCCCTCAGAGTTGTCCATACCTGAGAGTACAGAACTGAAATTTAACATTCCCACACGAGAGTGGTGGGTCACATAAAGTAGGTCTAGGTCAGTCTGCTGAACAAGAGCCCTAGATTTGGCCACTAAAAATACTCTGAGAAACAAGGAGTAGAAAGTGCTTGGGAAGAGGCCAGGGAAGGGAAGAAAAGTACAGAAATGTCCAAAGGGATTAGGGAATTGGGGTGGATCATCAACATTACCTGATGCAATTTTTTATCCACTCTTAATTGCAGATTCAGGATTCACTTATGTACAATCTGTGTATAGATGCAAGACTACCAGGTTTTTTCTCATTGCTTTTTTACCTAATATAACTAAAATTCCTTTAATTTGAGAGATCAAATCACAAACCTAATATGAAAGAAACTGTCTTAGCATCTCCATTTTTACATAATTTTATTTTTATTAACAAACAATAATTGTATTTATCTTTGAGGTACAATGTGATGCTTCAATATATGTATATATTGTAGAATGAGCAAATCAGGATAATAACATATCATCACTTCACATATTTATCATTTGCTTATGGTGAAAACATTTAAAATCCAGTTTTAAGCAATTTTGAAATATACAACATATAGTAACTAACTACATTCACCATTCACTAGAACTTTTTCTTCTCACCTAACTGAAACTTTGTACTCTTTTACCAACATCCCCATGACAGCCCCTGCCTCAGATTCCGTAATCACCATTGTACTCTACTTCTGTGTTCAAATGTTTAGATTCCACATATAAGTGAAATCATGCTATATCTTTCTTTCCATGCCTGATTAATTTCACTTAGCATAATGCCCTCTAGAGTCATGCACATTGTCACAGGTGACAGAATTTATTTTTTTTAAGGATGAATAATATTCCATTGTTAGAATATACCACATTTTTAATCCATTTATTTGTTGATAGGCACATAAAATTGTTTTCAAATCTTGACAATTGTGAATAATATTACAATGAACATAGGAATGCAGACGTCTCGTCAACATACTGATTTTAATTCCTTTTGGTTATGTACCAAAGGAAATTGAATATGGAAATTTTATTTTATTTTATTTTTAGTTCTTTACATCTTCACCAACACTTGTTTATCAAGGAGGTGGAAAATCTGTATATTAAAAACTATAAAACATTAGTGGAATAATTGGAGATAAAACAAGTAAATGGAAAAATATTTCATGCTCATGGATTGGAAGAAATAATATTGTTAAAATGTCAAAACCATACAAAGCAAACACACAGCTTCAATGCAATCTCTATCAAAATTCCAATGTTATTCTTCACAGAAATAAAAAATAAATTCTAAAATAAGTATTGAAGCACAGAGGATATCAAAGTAAAGTAATTACTTGTCAAAGTAATCTAGAGAAAAAAATCTGGAGGTATGACACTATCTGACTTCAAATTATACTGCAAAGTTATATTAATCAAACCAGCATGATATGGGCATAAAAATACGAGCTTCCACCAATAAAACAGGACAAAGAGCTTAGCATTAACTCATGCATTATGGTGAATCAATTTTCTTTTATTATTATTATTATTATTTTAAGACGGGGTTTTACCATGTTGGCCAGGATGGACCTCATGATCTGCTGGGATTACAGTCACTGCACCCAGCCAAAATTAGCCGGTGTGGTGACTTGTACCTACACACACCACATATATGTATGTATTTGTTTTTGGTTTTTGTTTTTTTTAAGTAGAGATGGGTTACACCATGTTGGTCAGAATGGTCTCAATCTCTTGACCTGGTGATCCGCCAGGTCTCCTAAAATGCTGGGGTTACAAGTGTGAGCCACCATGCCCAGCCACTGATTTTCTACAAAGAGGCCAAGAATATACAGGGGAAAAGAACAGTCTCTTCAATAAATGATTTTCGAAAAACTGACTGTCTACATGCAGAAGAAGGAAACTGGACCCTTGTCTCATACTTTTTACAAGAATTAATTAAAAATGGCTTGAAGACTTAAATGTAAAACTTGAAATGGTAAAACTACTAGAATAAAACATAAAGATGTGAGCAATGATTTCTTGCATATAACCCCAAAAGCACAGGTTAAAAAAAGTAAAAATATACAAAGGACATTGCATCAAACTAAAAAGCCAAAATAATCGGATTTTAATACATCAATAATAAGAATGTCTGATCCTTGACCTAAACCACAGAAAAGGTTAAATGACTAATGACAGTATGAGAAAAGATATTTGTTATATCTAAAACTGATTGAGGATCATCATGTAGAATATATGATGAATCTTTAAAAATCAGAAAGAAATAGATTGACAGAAAAAAACATGAAAAAACAATGTACCAGAGGAGAAATTTGATTGCTAAGAAGCCTGTGAAGTTATATCCATCTTCATCAGTAATTGGAGAAATGCATATTTATTTAAACAAGAAAATACTCTATAAACATCAAATCAGCATGAAGTTAAAATTAGAACTTATCAAATGTTGGTGAGTATGTAGAGAAATGAAACCCATCATGCCCAGCAGGTAGAAGTGTATCTGATATTAAAAACCAGCCTGGCAGTATTAATGACGCTAAATCCACTGATACACTACAATTCAATGAACTGGCTTTAGGAATTATACCCAAGAGTAAAACTTGCACAGATTGACACAGTTATATTTTTGAGGCTATGGGGAGTCAGAGGCAATCTTGGTGTCCATACTAAGAAAATTCATACATAAACTGTGGTGATTAAGCACCAGAAAATATTCTGCAACAATTAAAGCCAATTGATTGTATATATTGCTTGTATAGCAATATACGTAGTGTTAGATAAAAAAGGTTAAGAAGGATAATAAAATGTATAGCATCATACAATACATAAATTGAAAACATACATATACAAAATATGTATTGAAAACATACATATACATAATAACACTACATATTGTGCAAGGATATGTAGGTACCCAAGATAACCAAAGAGTATGGCAGCAGGGTAGCAGAAGTAGAGAAAGGAACAAAGTTGAAAACAAAATTAAACAAACAACCTTCCAAAGAAAAATTTATAAAACAAGGATCATGTTCCAATTTTATAACTAGAATCTTTTGAAAAACTGATTACATTTTATTATGTTTTATATCTACTATGATACAAATATCTATACAGTAAATTAATTTATTTTCCAAACTCAAGTGAACATCTATTATGGAACAGGCTTTGTATTGAGTGTTAGGCTTAGAAAGATAAATGAAATAATGAACGTTCCATTCTAATAGAGGACAGATTCATATTTAATACAGTTTTGTGTCTTCAGGTAAATTTGGACCACTTATTTTCTCACACAATGAGTATGATACCTACTTCATTCAATGTAAATACTTCTCCCTTTGGATTCTGAGCCTCAGGGTTAAATATTTAATCCAGTAGCAGTAGTTAATTAAGCTAAGTTTGTGATATAGTTTCCTCATTTCCTAAGCATTTTAGTCAGATTTTTAAATATTTGTTGCAAGTATGTATCAATGCCACTTAGTTACCATGAATTCTTTTAGAAAACAAATGAACTACAAAACGTAAAACATTGAAAAATTAGAAAACCATATTAAAATACATGTATTTGAATATTTTTTCTGTACTTTTTATTGTTATCCATATTTGATATTGGATATCATCTCTGCAAAATAACTCTGAACCATACACTATTACAAAACATTTCAAGAAAATCTAACAAGTTACAAGAGTAGCTTTAAGAAAAGCTTAGTGTAAAAGTTTTGGTATAAGCAATAGAATCTACCAATGATTGGACTCAATAAAGTTAAAACAGCACTGGAATAAACAGCAGCTCAAGACAATAACTGTTTCTGTTATTTTTTCTAAAAAAATACATCTCAGAAATGCAGAGAGTGACCTTTTACTCATGCCCTAGGGCTTCTTCCTCTTGAAGGTAATTTACTCTGCTTGAGCCATGGAGGATCTGCTGGCTTACCCCATCTTGGCAGTCCTTAGGTAGAAGCCTGACTCAACCAGCTTCAGGTTCCTATTCCTCTTCCTGAAATTTTGACCAAAACAAGGAACACCCATATTAGAGTTTGCCGATTATCTTTATTATCAGACTCTTAGAGGAATCTGACAAAGAAAAAAATACTGTGATAAGGAAAATAACATGCCCATGTCTTACTGTGAATTGTAAATATGTTACTGACAGAGCATTTCTGGGTTTGGAACTTGAATTTTTTCCATTTCCATTTATGTTAATTAACTAAGCACCTTCTAAACATATGGGCATTGATAGTGTTTGAAACAACACTGCGTGACAGACCTACCCTCATTTTATATTAAAAGATAACTGAAGCTCTAAGATATCAGTGGCTTGTATAAAAGAGCCTAGTCTGACTTGAAGGTGTTTGTGAAATACTATGTATCAGATCTTAGACCTCCTGTTTAGGCTACCTAGTGTCTCAAAACAAAAACAAACACAGGTTATCCATAATAACATGTATCTATTACAAGGATGACAGTGCATGAGGTAGCAGCAGAAGTCAGCTTATCAGCAGCACATCAACTTTGGTCCAATTCTTCAAATTCCATAATGTAAAAGAGTTTGCATAACTACACAGAAACATGCTTGGCAATCTTTAAGTCAGAAATTGTGGCCACATAAGCCACCCATTTACCAAAGGGAAGAGTTTGGTTGAGAGGTTCTGGAAATTATTGGATGTGCTATAGTTCCACTGGGCAGTTCTAACCAGCTATGTCTGCATGAACAGCTGAAGAACCCTACTCAGTCCTGCCCATAAGCCAAACAAGAACAGCCTCTACACCAAACCCCCGTATTTAAAGGGCTACACGTATCACACAGATACACAGTAAGAAGGGTACTAAAGAGCATTTGGACGTTTCATTTACTTAGCATAGATAAACTGTAGCCTACATATCCTTTCTTTTGGTGAACACTGTTCATGTTTTATAAAAAATTTTGTCAACATCTTTTGTTCTAAGTTCTCAAAAGAAAAGCAAATAAGAAATATCATGAAACTTTATGGGTTTTACTCTGTTGCCAATTTTGGAAAAAGACACTGCTTCAGAGTATAAGGGGAAATTTGAGCAGTTAAAGCTCTTAAGTAACTGAAAAGATTAATCAAGTAAGTTGTTGCAGTATTCTTCTCAGATACTAATTCTTACATAATCAATTATTGCTTCCCAGGAATAATGATGGTTCATTTTATTGCCTCCCTTTATATCTCAATTTGTAGAAACTGATTGGGGGTTATTTGCAACAGTCGCAAATGGCTACTGAGTATTTTTTTTGTTATTAGCTTCAAAAATATGTATTAAATAACATACAAAAATATATACACATACAGAGAAAAAGACATGAAGTGTAATACTATTTATTTCATGGCTACCTAGATAAATATTGAATAGTAGAATTGTATATAGTTATAGTTTTATTAAAGTAATTTATAAGAGTAATTACATCTTTTAAATTAACTTTAAAATTTCAGATATCTAAGTAATTCTGATATTGTTCATTTATAACTTCTAGTAATTTAGAGATGCAGTATGTAGGCCTCCATATGTTTTCTTGCTGTGAGATGCCAAGGGTAAAGTACTTGGGGTTTCGTTTTGGGGTCAGGCAACAGTCCAGGAAAATTTGCTATGGCCACTTTAGTAGCCTGGTAACTTCCCCTAACAAAACATGTGGCACTAGCAATGCCTGGTAAGATGGAGAGAGAAATTAGACTGGACCAAGTGCTTTAAAAACGTGGCTGTGGACCAGATGCGGTGGCTCATTCTCATACTCCAGCACTTTGGGAGGCTGGGGCAGGTAGATCACCTGAGGTCAGGCGTTTGAGACCAGCCTGACCAACATGGCAAAACCCCATCTCTACTAAAAATACACACAAAAATTAGCCGGGTGTGGTAGTGTGCATCTGTAATCCCAGCTACTAGAGAGGCTGAGACAGGAGAATTGCTTAAGACCAGGAGGTGGAGGTTGCATTGAGCCAAGATTGCACCACTGCACTCCAGCCTGGGTGACAGAGCAAGACTCTATCTCAAAATATAAATAAATAAACAAACAAACAGCTATGAATATGACAAGCACTGATATATACCTACCTCTTTCAGCCCACCTAGAATATAACAATATCTAATGGTTGATATTTTTCAAATCTTAAATGAGAAATTAGAAATCTTTCTGAAACAGGAAACTTTTTGCTTCTTGAGTTAGAGGGAAAGGATATACGGTCTGCCCATTTGGTAATGGGAAGCCATCACATTACTGCTCTTCCCTATAATTCTAATGTACTGATGGCAGGATGTGGATGCTTATCCAGTGTCCAGTCACAATCAGAGACAACTGAGAAGAAGGTTATTTTGATTATGCCCTTCCACGAACAATAGCCTAAGAGTCTTCTTTTGAAAGGAAAACACAAAAGGAGATGGCGAGATCAGTCCTTAAGCCAATATTGGCTAGATTTACCCCTTAGCTCACATGAGTTAAGGAGAAAACTTCAGGGTTGTAAAGATAAGAAGTAACAATAATTATAGCTACCAGTTTTTAAGCATCAACTCTGTTCCGGAGACTTGACATATATTAATCAACACAGAAAATGTGTAAGGAATACATCGATAGACAATGTTGATCAATTAAAAAGCTGTGATTAAGGCAAATGAAGTCAGTTATCCAGCGACACTAAGCAACTAAGTGTTAGAGGCAAGATTTCAATGGAAGTTTGTCAGACTGCAAACTTTTTACAGAAGAGAGAGTTTACATAGCAGGGGATGGACCTCAAAAGTATAACTTTGGGTAATGTAAAAACAATCTAGCTTGGTGATTTGCAAACTTGAATGCACATGGAATTCACCCAGAGGTCTTGTCAAAAACGAATTCTATTTCAGTAGGTCTGGGTGGGACTTAATCTGTATTTTTAAAGCTTTTGATGGCACACATTTGTTCAAACCTCATTATTTGCAGATGAGTAAAGTGAGATGCAGAAAACTTAGGCAACTGGCTCAATGCCAAGCAGTTTGTTCAATGTGGACAGAGAAAGTATCCCCAAATTGTTCTGGTACATTTTCCAGTTTGTTGTACAAATTGCTCAAAATGGGCATATAGCCACTGCCAGAGAATTTCGGTCTATCCACATATCTTTTCCAGATAAATTCTGCTCCTGCACAATTGCATTCTCATGCTACTATATGTACTATAGATTCCAGTCTTCTCCTTTAGTTTCTTTTGCCATGTTCAAGATTGCCAGATAGATTCCTGAAAATTAGGTGAAAATGGATTATTTTCAAGTAAATTATGATTCAAATGCTAAAAAGAAGGGTTGTCTGGTTTTGGGTAGAGAGCAATAAGTTCTGTCATTCAAATATATAAAATTTTTGGAAAAATGTCTCTAGTTGGGATTTTGTTTACCATAATATTTTAATTTTATTTTTTAAAGATAAGGTTTCACTATGTTGCCAAGACTGACCTCCTGGGCTCAGGTGATCCTCCCACCTCAGCTTCCTGAGTACCTGAGATTACAGGCATGCACCATTGCATCTAGCTTTATTTACCATAATCTCTTAAATGAAAGGAATACTAGGTAATTAATGAAGTCTATCAACAAAAATAACCCAAACTCTAGCTTGATGACCTGGCACAGATCCATAACCACATTATTAATATATATGTACAGATTATGTTACCTCCACTCAAAGGCATCTTCCTACATAAGGGAATAATATATTCAGAATTATTATTTTATATTTCTCAGAGCTCATTATCTTGATTTGGAGAAACATTCCTTCTGAGTTATGCATTTTAAGTGGATTTCTCTAGAACCTACTGCAATGCAGTTTGTTCTTGGCAAAAAAAGAAAAAGCAATTCATTTTATGATTTCAGAAATTCTTTTAAAAAGTGTCAAAAATAAATTGAAAATAAGAAGGCCATACTCTGTCATAACCAAAGTGTTTTTTAGAGATAGGCATCCCAAGCAATAATGTGTAAGTGATGGAATAAATTCCTCAGGCAAGCTGATTTTCATTTCTCTAATAGTCATTCTAATTAGGAGCAATGTATTTCTCTTGAACATATGTTACATATTATCACCAACGGAAATGGTGTTTATACGTGGTATTCTTAGGCAAATTACATCTTACTTGCTTGAATACATTAAGTAATTTCTTGGGAGTTTCTGAGCTGACTGTATTTTAAAACCAGGTCCCTCTCTTCTCTTTTGCCTTTCTTTGTGTGGCTGCCAATTCCTAAGTAGTTTTTTATGCCAACTTTAATCAAATAGGATCGCACCAACCCCAGCAGTTGGGTAATGTTCTTTTTAAGCACATTGCAGTCATCTAACTCTCTCACTCCATTCCATTTCTCTCCTTTCTCCTTCTTCCCTCCTGCTGTCTGCTTTGACATGATTTTACTTTCTTATCTTTTCACTAAAGGATTAACCTGAGACTAAATAAGATTAAATTTTACTGTTTGTTACGGTTACTCATCAGGAGAAAAGAATAATGTTGGCTGTTTCTCCCTCTCTCTTTTACTCTGCCCTCATCCCCCACACACAAAAACTAATCACTTAAAAAATTTTAGAATACAAACAAATTATTTAGAAAATCATCATATTATTATGTTCTAATCAACCTGGATCAATAGCCATTTCCTGATATACTATCACACTTCTCTAGGTTCATACTGTCCCCACTATTGGGGATATGTTTTACCTATGTAGGTGCCAGTCAAAATGCTATCCCTCCTTCAAGGCCCAATTACCACCTCTTTGCATCTGTATCTGCTTTTTAACCGGTCTTTCTCACTTTAGTGCCCCCAAAGGCTAAGCTTCTTGAAATCAGTGCCAATATCTTACTTATCTTGTCTCTCCACAGGAGTTATATTCGTGTTTTATTCATGGTGGAACTCACTGCTAGTTTGATAAAGGTCACAGAACAGCAAGCGTTAATAATTTCATGAAGAATCAGTGCAATAGAAACACAGTTGGCTGTCACAATTTCCTTTGAGTGTCACCAGAAATAGTAACCAGACAGTTTCC